TAAGATATAGATTCAATACAATCTCAATCAAAAGCCCCATGATATGCTTCACAGAATTAGAAAAATCCATCCTTAAATTCATATGGAGGCATAAAAGACCCCAGACAGCCAAAGCAACCCTGAACACAAAGAGCAACGCTGGGGGGATTATTATACCAGATCTCAAAGTATATTACAGAGCCATCATCATAAAAACAGCATGGTACTGGCACAAAAACAGACACACAGATCAATGGAACATTATTGAAGATCCAAAGCTGAGTACATGCAATTTCAGCCACCTGATATTTGACAAAGGTGCTAAGAACACAAAATGGGGAGAAGACAGTATCTTCAACAAATGGTGCTGGCAAAACTAGATCTCCACCTGTAGAAGAATGAAACTAGATCCTATCTTTCACCTTGGACAAAAGTCAACTCCAAATGGATCAAAGACCTCAATGTGAAACTGGAAACCCTGAAACTATTAGAAGAAAATATTAGCAGTAACTTACAGGATTTAGGTGTAGGAAAGGATTTTCTAAATCAAACAGAAATTGCTTAGGAATTAAGGTCAGAAATCAGTAAGTGGGACCTCATTAAACTAAAAAGCTTCTGTACAGCAAAATAAACAATCAAAAAAGTGAAGAGAAAACCCACAGAATGGGAAAAAATCTTCACTAGTGACACATCTGACAGAGGTTTAATATCCAGAATATATAAAGAACTCAAAAAACAAAGAATCAAGAAATCAAATGACCCAATTAAAAGGTGGGCTAAAGATCTAAACAGAGAGTTCTCAGTGGAAGAAATAAAAATGGCTAAGAAACATCTCAAAAAGTGTTCAACATCGTTAGTCATTAATAAAAGGCAAATTGAAACGTTCTTAGATTCCATCTCACCCCAGTCAAAATAGCGACCATCAAGAAAACAAAGGACAGCGCTGGAGAGATGGCTCAGAAGTTAAGAGTGAGTATTGATCTTGCAGAGGACCCGAGTTCAGTTCCTGGCACCAAGTGTGGAGAACTCTTAAAAAACTAAAAATGAACCTACCATATGACCAGGCTATACCACTCCTTGGCATATACCCAAAGGACTCATCCTATTGTACAGACACTTGTACAACTGTGTTTGTTGCTGTTCTTTTCACAATAGCTAAGAGATAGAAGCAACCTAAGTGCCCCTCAACTGACGAGTGGTTAACAAAAATGGGTACATTTACACAATGGAGTTCTATTCATCAGTAAAGAAGATGAAATAATGAAATTTGCAGGTAAATGGATGGATCTAGAAACTGTTATACTAAGTGAAGTAACACAGACTCAGAAAAATAAATGATGTATGTTCTCCCTCATATGTGGCTCCTAAAACCAAATCCTTTTAAATTCCAGGTCTTTTTAGTAAGATGATGCTATACAGCAGTCCCTTCTGCATGAAATAACTACCATCATTGCGACTTCTGCTGAGCCTGATTGCTAAACATAGTCACAACCGGGCTTGTTGACGGTTGTGCTCATTCATTAAAGGAGCGCCAAGCAGGGTCACAGGACCCTCACCTGAGTATCCAGCCACTCTTCCCAGCCAACTAGTCCAGCCTTGGAAGACAGAAGAAAAATGAGGAAGAACCCAATAGAAGGATGCTTTTGGAAACCCTTGTCAAGAAACCCCAATGGACTCTGATGTGATCATCTGAGAATTGCCCCGTTCTGACTTTTTTCTAGTTCCCTATCTAGAACTTGTAATGCTAATTACTCTTGCCTTTACTTCTCCTTCACATCTCCCATTCATGACTCAAGGACTTTCTTCTCCCCTTAGAGACAAAAGTTATCCAATTTGGGATACTCCAACTGCCTCACCCTGTGTCCCTGTTCAGCATGGAAGAAGCTAGAGTGGTTGGCGTCCCTATTCCCTATTGGCAATTTGGGTAACCCCTTCAGAGGATGGCGTGATAAGAATAGGGGGTAGGAATTAACTAGGCAGTTAGGGTAAAGAGGCCCCAAAGAAATGTAGCCAGGTTCTTGGCTAAGAATCAAAATGTCCTTGAGCCTGTTAGCAACATACTCTGTTGCAAGGCCAAAATGTCAAAAGTATTTGGGAGCTTGTATCTAATCCTTAAAAGATTTTACGGTTACCTCTTCAGACAGGGGAATGTTGGAGGGGAGGGAGTGGGCATGGATTTGATCAAAACACCTTATATGCATGTATGAAATTCTCAATAAAGTTTTTGTAAAAATTAAAAAAAAAACCTATGCCTTGTGTCTCTTTAGCTGCATTGTTAAAGTGAGAGCAATCTTGTTTCCGTGTTTTCCAATTAAATGGCTACTGTGTGTGATTTAGCTGTGGACACCATATCCCAGCATGCCCAAAGGCTTTCTTCTGAATTTACAATCAGAAGAGAGTGTAGTCTGTGTGGCTGCTCTCCTGATCCAAGCAGCTGCTATAGGCAGCTACTTTCGGTCCAGAGGATTGAAGTCAGAAAACAAAGAAGAAAAGTTATTAGAGGTTTCCCTTCAGTACATAACCCCATGTTCCCAATCTCTTTCTATGGCCCAGCACTTCGCTGTGCCTTGATGCCCTGTCTTTGCCCTATATCCTAATGACAATCTACTACAGCACCTTCTTTAACAACAGAGTCAGATGTGGAGGCACACGCCTTTATCCCAGTACTTGGGAGGCAGAGGCAGGTGGATCTCTGTGAGATGGAGGCCTAGTCTACATAGTGAGTTCCAGGCCAGCAGGGCTACAGGGAGAGCCTGTCACAAAAGAAAACAAAACATTAAAAATACACAGATTTATTTATATCAAAGATCTCAACTTCTATATTTTACCATTTAAATGAGATATAATAAATAAAACAACTAAATAACTACCAAGAGCTTAGAGATTGTTTTCTGTTTTTAAGACATACTCTCTATATGGTGCTTAGGCTGGCCTCAAACTTGTGATTTTGTGGAATCAGTTTCTGGGGTGCTAGTATTACAGGCATGTGCCACCATTTCTGGCTCTAGTTAATATTAAATAGGTAAAATTTACCTACATTATTCTAGAAACCTTTTTTCTTGCATTTGTATGTGTATGTTGGCGGGGGGCATGTGTGTGTGCTCTTGTGTGTGTATACATGCATACTATGTGTGTATGTGCCTATACAGGCCAGGTACTAATCTCTGGTATCTCTCTCCATTGCCCTCCATCTTATATATTGACGTTTGGTCTCTTGTTTGAACCCAGAGATGGCCAATTCAGTTAGGTTAGCTAGCCAACTTGCCCCAGTGATCCCCAGTGCTTTCTGACAGCTGGAATTACAGGTGGGCCGCCATGCCCATCTGGTATTTACAAGGGTGCTAGGGATCCAAATTCCAGTCCTCATGCTTGAGTGGCAAGTGCTTTTATGTGCTGAGTCATCTCCCCAGGCCTAGAAACTTTTATAGAAACAAAAACCATACATATATCTGGTCAATGGTAATTTTACTCACTGAAATATCCCTTACAGTTGTTAATGATTATTATAAGCATATTTCATTTCTTTCATCTGTTTTCCCAACAACCAACACTCTTTGATAAGTCAAGCATTGAGAGAAGATATACTCCACTCACTTTTCAGTGGTTCTTTCTCTAAGTGCGAGTCCTCTGGTGTATCAAAACGACCAACTGGTAACTTTGGCTTCCTAAGGGGTTGCTTCATGGGTTCAGACATTCCTCCTTGAGAACTCAACTTCCTCAAAGAATGACTCAGAGGGGATGATCCTACCAGAGCAGAGAAACAGAAACTGCTCATTTATTTTACTTAAAAATGGAATATTTTTACTTACTTGTTTTTGAACATTTATCAAAATTCAAAAGGGACAAATGACATACAGTGAAAATTCTTTGTAGATTTTAGATAGCTATTTTCTTTGAAGATAACCAATATTACAGGTTTACAAAGAAGGAATGAGGCAGGCAAGCAGAGGGAATAGTTTAGTAACCTGGGACTTCACTCAGTTTGGGCTATTTACACATCCCTCTGCTAGTAACATATATGTCAGCCTAGGTTCCTTACCTGCATGTACTATGCACAGACACCTCTCTAAACAATGAACCTAAACCTGTTAGCAGTGTAGGACCCCTCACCCTCTGCACCGGGCCACATATACACTCTTCACTGAACAATGGGATCCATTTCTCCTCTCCTTAACAAACTTAGATTCTACATCACATACTCATTATGTCCCAGTATAAGACCAGAAAGGTCCATCTTACCTAAACTTGTTTTGGGTGCATACACATTAAGGTAAATTGAGCTCTCAAAGTGAACTTATTATTTTTATTTTATGTGTATGAGTGTATTGCCTGCATGTATCTAAGTACACCCATGTTGTATAATGCCTGCATAGGTCAGAAGAGGGCACTGGATTCCCTGGAACTTGAGTTAGAGATGGTTGTTAGCCCCCATGTGAGTACTGGGAACTGAACCTGGGTCCTCTGCAAAAACAGCTAGTGCTCTTAATCACTGAGCCATCTCTCCAGCCCCCTCAAAGTGAACTTTTAAGGAGAATCCTCTATTTACCATCGTTTGCCTATGCATTATTGGGTGTGCAAACAATTAAAATTACGTGCATTATGAGGACATTTACAGTAGAAAAATTATTATATGACATGATCTATCAATCAGAACAAAGAACCACTCAAACCATACCTCTAGTAATCAGCTCCTTTAGAGCCCTTATCCCCCCCTTAAAAAAAACCCAAGCAATAACCTGGGCCCTTGAGTATCACAGGTGACCCGCTGCTCTTTTGCAGTAGAAGTCAGAGCCTTTCTATTGCTTTGCTTTCAATACCGTCTCCTTGCTACTTTGCAATCTGTGTCAGCTTTTATTTCAGTTCCTTGAATAAGAGGCCAAGAACCTGGAAGCACCTGGCCCACTATAGGACAGCAGAATCAACAAAACAGCACTGTCTAGGAATTCCACTCGTTGCACTAGAAGAGCATGGGTAACACACACCAGAAGGTACAGCAGCCCATCCTGCTGTTTCTAGAATTGCCAAGGGCCGGTGAAAAGAATGCAAAATGTATCATACATTCGTTCACACAGCTGAATGAATTACAATCTCACATTCACTGTGCAGTGATCTTGAAACAGCGCTAGCTGAAAAAAAAAAGCAATGAATACAACCTGTATGGAACTATTTCTATAGATAAAAAAGATACGCAGTTACACAACGGTATCACAAAATAGCACATAGGAGCTTCTCAACAATGGAAGTAATCTACTAAATTGGAAAATGAGTTCAGTGATGTTGCTTTTGCTTTATAATTTATATGTGTGCTATATATATTTCTGGTATCAAATAGGTCATAATTGTTTAAAACTAGTGAAAAGGAGATGCTGTATGAACACACTAACATTAAAATGACTACCTCGGGGTTTGGATGTGAGTCTTTTTATTTTCTGTAATATTCATTTATGGACCACTTAAGATTGTTACAACTAACAAGCATTATGTGTTTGAGGGGAAAAACACAGAAAGTAAAACAAAAACCAGGCCACTTACTATGAAGATGGTAATTATGTTTTTCAGTGTATATAATTTCTCAGGGATGTCATAAATGAAATATACAATTGGCATACTGTGGATTGCTAACCATGGAACATACTGAAAAAGAATCCAACAAAAATACTTTAAAAAATATTGGTTTCTGGGCTGGAGAGATGCTCAGTGGGTTTGGTTTCCAGCACCCACATGGCAGTTCATAACTGTCTGTAACCCCAATCCAGGGGATCCATGCCGTCTTCTGGTCTCCACGGACACTACACTCAATGTGATGCACTTACAAGCAGGCAAACACATACACATAAAACAATACAGGTTTCTACTGAAGGCACGCACGCATCTATTTTCATCACATGTGCCTTTGGCCCATTTCTGCACTACCCAGTGCAGACTGCCACAAGCAAACAAGTAAATGACAGGCTCCCACCCCAAATGGGTTCTTCTTTTCCACATTTTCCCAGCAGCATCAAAGTGCTGTGCGCCCTGGGCGCTCCCACGGAAACTGCGTTTGCGACCCTCCAGTCTGGGCTGGGAGAGCTGGGGACCAGCGGCCTCAGTTCCTTCCGGCCCGAAAGTGCGCCTGCGCACTGGCAGGTCGGGACGCACTGGGCTTCCTCCACGGGGATCCCGGGCATTCTGAACCTGGCCGATCGCCTTACTTGTCGCTCTCCACGCGGAGGACCAGACCCCCAGCGACGCAGCGAGCCTCGTAGTGACCATGGTGCCGCGTCCCGCAGTGTCTGCGCAGGCGCAACGGGGTGGGCGGAGCTTCTGTCGCCAGCCCCAGGAATCCGCGCAGTCTGCGCAGGCGCGAGCGAAAGCTGGGCGTAGCTCAGCTGTCACCCTGGACTGACCCGGCTACCCGAGCTCCCTCTAGCAATCCAGCCCCTATCTCCACCGTGCAGACTCAAGCAATTGCCTTTACCCGTTCCCAGGGTTCCAGTAGGGGGCTATGGGAGCCTGCTGGTGGGGATCAGGGTATAAAGATGATTGTTTGAGATGTTCTGTATAAAACACACAAAAATTCAATGAAAACACAAACAAAAACAGAAAACAAAACTCTGCCCAGAAGAAGTTCTATTGCTCTATATTGCAGCGAGATGACTATGGCTCACAGAACCCTATGATTGACTGTGTGAGTAACTAGAGGAAAGAAGCTCAGTCTTCCAACACGGAGATGAAAGCATGAATTACTCTAATTTCATCATTACATGCTGTAAACATGTACTGAAATATCACACTGGGCCCTATGAATATAATCACTACATATTGATTAATTTTTAGAAGTTTGCACCATAGTTGTATCAAAGTATTACATTGTATATACATTTGCAGTTAAAATACAAATAAACATAAGACATTTAATTATATTGAGCTTTCCCACATAATTATTTTATTTACCTTTCTGTTGTTTTGAGGCAGGGTCTTCCTCCTGTATCCCTGTAGACCAGGCTGGACTTGATCTCAGAGAGATCTTTATACCTCTGACTACCTCTGGGATTAAAGGTGTATATCACCACACCCGGAGATCATTTCTTTTTCTTTTCTTTTCTTTTCTTTTCTTTCTTTTTTTTTTTTTTTTTGAGACAAGGTCTCACTATGTCTTAGCCCCAGCTGGCCTAGTATATAGACCATCCCAGGCTGGCCTCCGTCTCCCAGCGATCTGCCTGCTTCTGCCTCCCAAGTGCTGGGATTAAAAGCATATGCTACCATGCTCCGTTCCACATCACGTTTTTGAAAGTAAATCTTTAGGGGGCTGGAGACATGGCTCAGCAGTTAAGAACACTGATTGTTCTTGTTAGGGTTCCAATAGCAGCCTCCTCCCCCTCCCCAACAGGGACCTACAAACTCTGCTGAGAAGCACTGCCTTTCCTCTGACCTCCAAAGATAAGCAGAGTTCCTCTTATCTTAAGAGGAAAAGAAGACACTTCCACACCCTAATCCTACCTGCTTCCCCCTCCCTGATTCCACACCCTAAAGCCCCCATATGTAAAGTCCCAGATCACAACCCGTGGACATCTTTCCTGAACATCTTTCCTTCCCTGACATCCTTCCCTTCCTTCCCTTCCCCCTTCCCCCTTCCCTTCTCTTCCCTTCCATCTTTCCCTTCCTGGACATCTTTCCCTTCGTGGACATCTTTCCCTTCCTGAGGGAAAGGTGCCCCGTGCGAAATAAATCTGTGTCCCACTGAGGATTCCATCTGAGCCTCCATGCCTCATCCATCCGCTTGTGCCTCCTCCATCTGCCCCGCTCGCTCCTGCCCATTCTCTACCTATCAGTTCTTGCAGAAGACCAGGGTTTGAATCCTAAGCACCCACATGGCAGCTAACAACTGTCTGTAACTCCAGTCCCAGGGAATCTGACAGCTTCTTCTGACCTACCTGGGCATTGCATGACATGGGTGCAATTACCTACATGCAGGCAATACATGCATACACATAAAATAAAAATAATTAAAAAAATTTAAAAAAAAAGAAAGTAAATTTTTAAAGTTCAAAATATTCAATCATGTACATTTACCATTTTAACTGTTCCATGGCTGGGATGTGATTTTTTATTTAAAAACACTAAAGTTAAAATCCTCATATGTGACAAATGATTAAAAGTTCTTTCCATTGTTAGAACACACACACACACACACACACACACACACACACAAAGACTGAAGTTAGATGAGTTATTCTATTGAAACACAGTTTGTGAGACAAAGATGGTCTAGATTCCTTTGATGGCTTATAAAAATTGAGCCCTTTTATTAAGTACTCTTTAATGATGTAATATGCTCCATTTATTTACTTATTGGTCTTTTAGTCTCTCGCTCACTCTCTCTCTCTCCTCTCTCCTCTCCTTCTCTCTCTCCTCTCTCTGTCTCTCCCCCTCCCTCTGTGTGTGTGTGTGTATGTGTGTGTGTGTGTGTGTGTGTGTGTGTGTGTGTGTGTGTGTCAGTGCATGTGTGGAGGTCAGGGGACAACTTGTGGGAATTCTCTCCCACCATGTGGGTTACAGGGACTGAATTCAGGTCATCAGGCTTGGTGGCAAGTGTGTTTACCAGGGGATCCATCCTGCTGGTCCTATTTCTTGGCTTTCTGAGATAGTGTCTCATGTAGATCAAACTGGCCTTGATCTTGCTATGTTGCCAAGGATGGCCTTGAACTCCTGATCCTCCTGTCTCCATTTCCAGAGTGGTAGGGTGACAGATGTTCACCATCATGCTCAACACTCCCTTTTATCTTTAATCTCTCCCAATTCATCTGTTCTGAACCATTGGCCATGTGACCAGAAAAATGTTTATGAATGAGCTGCAAGGCAAAAGAAGGCTTTTCACTTGTTCCTGGCAGAAGTCCAAAACTTTCTGCCACTTGAATCTTGACTTCCAACATCTCCAACAACAGCTGCAGTGTATGTACAGATTAAGTTGCTTTATACAACTTGTGGGAAGAATCACAGAAGCCCCGTAGAAATCTGGAATGGGGTGTGTGTGTATATGCTTTAAAGTTCCTAGCCTTGGTAGTGTCTGACCATGTCACATGAGGTGGCTGTGAAATCTGAGTTTCTTATCATGAACAAAGACTTACCTAGTCTACTTGGATAATGTGTCTTCTTCCTAAGAGGAAGTAGTATATACAGAAAAGAGCCAGACCCAAAACTCAAGAAGTTTTCACCTGTAGGTAGCTCATCACATGAGTTCAAAGCCAAATTTCTTTTGACCAGTTGACTGAAAATACTCAAAGTTGAACTATGAATGGCTTTGCTCAATAAACTGGTCTGTTATCTATGTGCAGCTTTTAGCATTTAGAGTTGAATTTGAGATGCCCTCTGGCAATAGCAGAGGAGAAAACTATTCTCCCAAAGGGCAAGTTTTAGTTGATCTTGTATACCTTGTCTAGGAGATATGGCTTGAGATAAAAAGCTCCATCATTCAGGGGAAGTGAAGGATTTAGTTAAATGGTCAGAAACTGGAAATATAAATGGCTTGGGATAGCTGCTTGGACCATGACCTCTCAAAGCAGTTCCAAAGCATGAAACATTTGGTTTCCACTGAATGCTTTTTTAAAAAGCTCTCACTTCAGGAATATCCTTACTTAAAACAAGATTATCCTCAGCCAGCACTCCAAAATAAAAACATAGTATTATATTAGTTAATGATTGTTGAAGTTGTGCTCAAGCTCTTGGCCTGTTCTAATCTTGAAGACATGACTGCTTGATGATGCTCGCAAGTTCATCCATATGACTGTTGGAATGATTTAGTTTCTTGGTATGTGGACTTCTCCAAAGGTCATCTCACAACATTGCAGCTAGCTTTTCAGAGAGTGAATGAAACAAGTAGGAAAAAATTATGATTTTTAAAAGTTTTATTATTTTTACTGTATGTGTATGAGTGTATTACCTGCATGTATGTAAGTACAACTGTGTCATGCAATGCCCTCAAAGGTCAGAAAGCGGGTGTTGGATCCCCTGGAACTGGAGTTATGGACAGTTGTTAGCTGTCATGTCGGGGCTGGGATTCGAACCCGGTCTTCTGCAAGAGCAACCAGTGTTAACTGCAAAGCAATCTCTCCAGCCCCAGAAATGCCTTCTTAAAATATTAAAATAATTACGTGTGTGCATGCTCATTACACTGTATGAGTGTAGAGGTCAGAGGACAACTTTGTGGAATTGTTCTCTTCTACCTTTATGTGAGTTCTAGGAATCGAACCCAGGTCTCAAGACTTGCACAGCAAAAGCCTTTACCTGCTGAGCCATCTCACTGGCCCAAATTCTTTTTGTAATTTAATCTCAGTGGAGACAGCTTGCCACCCAGCCCACTCTCAAGTGCCACCTTCCACCATGACTGCCTCTGTGGACATCAGTCACATCTTTCTCCAACACAGCTATGTTTGCTCAGTGGACCCACTAATACAGTAGCCATGCTGAGGAAAATAAAGACATACACCTACTTTTAACAGTCTTTCCCCTGCCAGGACTGATTGGTTAGCACCACTGCTTATGAATTCCAATGACCAACTTGACCTGTAATGTAGTATTAAACAGCCTGGGTGACACATCTGATTACAAGGGAATCAATACAACTATCATGAAGGTAGGGAGTTCTTAAATAATTGTCTGGACTGCTTTTCCTGACTTATCTTTCCTTTTATATACCCATCTGTGAATTTACTGAACACTTTACACCATATACCCATACAGTGTCCCACACAACACTGCTTATCAAAAGAACTAATTTTCCCACAAATGATGTAAAGCCAGGAACCAATACTTGGAAGATTCCGCTGTCTTATCAAGTAGTCCATCTTCTGGAAGCTGGCCTTATAGGATGATGGACAGCTCTTTTGAAGGTTTAGTTTTGGAACCAGGTGATGAAATACTTTGTTATGCTGTCCCTAAAGATGAAGGTTTATGCTACACATAAGTTAGCTGTTTTGATGACATCTCTTCTGTTGACAAGGGTCCAAAAAAATAGAAGAGGGATCAATGCTGCAGTTACATTTTACACAGTCTGTTTTACTTTCAGTTAGGGAGAGAAGAGAAATTCTACCATAATCCTCAGTGTTTTTGCCTATTATTCCCTAGTGTGCCAATGTTGTGGAGTGCTAACCTCTAGCAGTCATTACCATCTTATCAGAGCAGCTGTGATTACCTGCAAGAACAAGAGAGCCTCAACAAAGCTGGATCTGTTGACCCTCCCTCCTTAGGCTGTCTCCTGAGATTCCAGACACTCCCTCTGGTGCCCCTCTCCCTGCTGCGAGAGATTCTGCCCAGCTGCACAGAGTCTTGTGAGATC